AGGAATTCATTAGCATAATAGGCCACACCTAACAGCAGAAACTCATTAGGATTGGCTACATTAGGGGTGTGTGGCCTAACATGCAAAGGAGTTCCTGCTACAAAAAAAGCCCAGGGTTTTGAGAAGAAACAAAGTAAACAGAATAAGAAGCAAAAGGTGGGTGTGGCTGGATAACCACACTTCTGGTAACACGGGGGGGTGGCCTAACATGCTAATGAGCTGTGGTATCAGGGGTGTGGCCTAATACGCTAATGAGCTCCTGCTGTTGGGTGTGGCCTGTTATGCTAATGAGTTCCTGCTGGGCTTTTTCTACAAAAAAAGCCCTGCAGTATCCCACCCACCACCGGCACATTTCCCCTTTCAAAATGCCGGGGATAGAACCTGGGACCTTCTGCATGCCAAATGGATGCTCTGCCACTGAGCCACAGCCCCTTCCCCCGGGCAGAGCATCTGCTTGGCATGCAGAAAGTCCCAGGTTCAGTCCCCAGCATCTCCAGCCGAAAGGTTGACATGGTAGGTGATAGGAAAGACCTCAGCCTGAGACTCTGGAGAGTTGCCGCCAGTCCGAGTGGACAGTCCCGTTCTTGATGGACCAAGGGTCTGATCCGGTATAAAGGTGGCTTCATGTGTACCCTCAACCAGTGTTCCCTCTAAGCTGAGTTAGCGTGAGCTAGCGCACAGTTTTTTAGCCTCCGGCTCACACATTTTTGTCTCCGCTCAGGAAGGATGACTCCAGAGCAAACTAATTTATGCAGTAACCAAATTGCTTGCTCACAGCTAGTTTGGTGTAGTGGTTGACTGCGCGGACTGTAATCTGGGAGAACGGGGTTTGATTCCCCGCTCCTCCACTTTGACCTGGCTGGATGACCTTGGGCAAGCCATAGTTCTGGCAGGGCTGTCCTTGATAAAGAGCCATTTCTGTCAGAGTTCTCTCAGCCCCACCTACCTCACAGGGTGTCTGTTGTGGGGAGGGGAAGGGAAAGGAGTTTGCTCCTCCTCCTCCTCCTCCTCCTCCTCCTCCTCCTTCTTCTTCTTCTTCTTCTTGCCAGAAGCTCACAAAATAGAATTTTTGCTCACAAGACTCCAAAGTTTAGAGGGAGCATTGCCCTGAACCCCCTCCACCCGCAGTTCACCTTTGAATCTGCACACTCCAGATAACAGGATGTATATTTTGGCATCTCCTCTCTGGCTGGGAATCACTCATTTGCCGTCCCAGCAGATAGCCAAGCGCTTGGCGTTGTAAAGTGCTAACAGGTGGCAGGTGGGGAGGCCCTACCAAGGCCCGAGAGCGAAGCACGTCCTCTGCAAGTGGGCAGAGATGGATGGGAGCCTCCAACGGCGGCTGTCTAAACATGGCAGCGTTGAAGCGTTAAGCAGCCGCCGCTTTTAATGGATGCCTTGTCAGGGGTGGTGGTAAGGCGCAAGGCAGGCACGTTCCTCCTGTAGCAGCGCCAAGATCCTGGTGAGCCAGCCCCGGTGGCACAACGGCCACATCCTTTGCAGGCCACAATTGTCCTCCCGTCCAGGGGTAGCGAGAGAAACCCTTCTGTTGCCCCTCTGTTCAGAGCAGGATTTGAGTCCGGTAGCACCATAAAGACCAACGAGATTTCCAGGGTACAACACGTCAGGAGTCAGAGCTTGGTGTAGTGGTTAAGTGCGCGGACTCTAATCTGGGAGAACCGGGTTTGATTCCCCACTCCTCCACTTGCACCTGGCTGGATGACCTTGGGCAAGCCATAGTTCTGGCACAGCTGTTCTTGAAAAAGAGCCATTTCTGTCAGAGCTCTCTCAGCCCCACCTCCCTCACAGGGTGTCTGTTGTGGGGAGGGGGAGGGAAAGGAGTTTGTAAGCCACTCTGACTCTCTTGGGTAGTGAAGGGTGGGGTGTAAATCCAATCTCCTCCTCCTCCTCCTCCTTCTTCTGTCAGATCTGATGGAAGGAGTTTTGGCTCTTGAAAAATTATCCCTGGAAATCAGAGTGCTTCCAGCTCAGGTCCTGGACTGGGGTGGGGGAATGAGCTTTTCCCGGCAATCGTCCCCTGCTCCTTTTTGGCCTTCCTGGGGGGCTCCCGGACCATTCCCCATTGTGTAGAACAGGCCTTACCTACTTCTCATCGTTTTGCTTGCCTAAATGGGACCTCTCTGTTCCCAAGGCAGTGTCCCAGATACTGGAGACTAGAAAAGGAGTGGCTGTCTCCCGGGGCCACTTGGCTGGCCGGCATTTGGAAAAACAGAGCTGGGTTAGGTTCCCCTTTGGGGATCTGACCCAGCAGGGCTTTGCTTGTGTCTCCCCATGGTGGTACCCCAAAGGCTCAAGAGGGGGAAATTCTCATTCGCTGGTGTCCGTTCTTCTTCATGTTTTGCTCTCTTCTCCCCCCTTCACAGGCAGCCACCCGGGAACTTTCAGCGGATTATACTGTCTGTACCCCGCAGTGCAAGCCTCTCTCACCTGGGGAGATACTGGGGTGTACGTCCCCCCGGCTGGCAAAGGACACAGATGCCATCGTGTGAGTAAGGATCCTATCACAGTGGCTAAGGCGGGGGCCTCGTGTTTTGTCCTGGCCTTTCCAATTTCATTTGAGCCGAAGGAATGTGCGAACGAAATTTTATCGATCTAAGTGTTTATATCCCACTTTGCCCACCAAAGTGGCTGGCAGCAGCAGGGGGAAAAATGTAATCTAATGCAATATAGATCGACCAAACAAAACAACAGGGATGCTCAAGCCTCTGCGGCTGATTCGTCCAAAGGCACTGAGCCCTTGGGCATGAGCCAGAAGGCAAGCGGGCAAGGGGCTCGTGCCCCTGGCCATTCTCAAGTTTGTACAGGACCTGCAGGAGAGTCAGACCAACCCAGCCCAGGGAGAATTCAGCAGCAAGCTGCCAGCAAGACATTTCTCATTCCTCCTGCCCTATACCTCTGCACATGTGCAGAATGCCTCTTACTCATCATCGTGAAATAGCAACTGGGGCAGTGCTCTGTGACCTCCTGTGATCATTTGAAAGAACTGGGTACCTTGAGAAACTTGCTTTCCATTGGGGAAGAAAAAAATTGAGATGCCGGAGCTGGAAAGATGAATAGTTTCAGTGGCAGGCAGGTCGGGAGCAGGGATTGCAGGGGTGTCACTGCGAGTTCCTAAACAATAATATTGGGAACGACAGGCGAACATCTCTGAAAGACAGCCTATTTCTATGCGTAGGCAGGGTGGGCGGGGTATAAATTGGGGGGGGGAAATCTTACCCCCTCCTCCATGTGCCATAGCAGGAGGATGCTGACTGCACCCTTGGCCCACTACATTTGAGGCGTCAGCAGTGAAGAAGAAGAAGAGAAGAGATTGGATTTATAACCCCGCCCTCCACTTGGAGTCTCAGAGCGTCCTACAGACTCCTTTCCCTTCCCCTCCCCACAACAGACACCCTGTGAGGTTGCTGGGGCTGAGAGGGCTCTCTCGAGAACTGCCCTTGGGAGAACAGCTCTAAGAGAACTATGGCTTGCCCAAGGTGACCCAGCAAGTGCAAGTGGAGGAGTGGGGAATCAAACCCGGTTCTCCCAGATCGGAGTCCGCGCTCTGAACCACTGCACCAGACTGGCTCTCTCAGTGCCCAGGAGGAAGTGTGCCCCCCTTTCAAATCCCCCAGATCCGCCTCTCCTGTCGGGAAAGGGCTCCCTGGCCAAAGACAGCTTGCAAGCAGCAGAGCCGCAGGCCCCTCTGGACCCCTCTGCCCTTTCGCCGCCAGGCCCCAGCCCAGCAGGGGAGGCGTCCTTAAGGGGAGGGCAGGGAGGTGGCAGCTGGGAAGACGAATGACTGGGAATGACTGGGGCCTGATGCAGCAACCCCATTAATTTTCTTTAAGGACAGTGAATTAGACGAGCCTCCAGCTTCCGCACACCTAATTATTGGAGGTAATGGAAATGCTTAATGCACTGTGAACATCATGCCGAGGAAGCCGTGGAAAAATAAATAGCAGATCCCGGGGAGGGGGGGGGCGTGTGCAAAGGGAGGGGGAGGGCAAGCTGCGGTAGGGGAAGGGGGGGCCCTTCCAGCTGGAGCCTGGCAAAGAGGAGAGCGAGGAGTATCTAATATTTCGGGGGGGGGTCTTTTCTTCCCCATAGTGTTGTGTACTCCACATGATCCTCTCTGTCTTGGGGGGGGGAGGAGTATGCAAATTAAAATGTGGGACATTCCCGTCTCCTTCTGCTCCCCCCACCCTATCTGGCCTGAGCCCATTCGGCCGTTGATTTGCTCTCCCTGGGGTGCTTCCCTGCGTGGAACGCCTCCCTCATCCAGAGCTTGCCAGAGTTCCAGGCCTGGCTGCCACACAGCCGAGCACCAGGGCGGCAAGGGAGAGAAGGCCGTGGAAGCAAGGCAGAGTGCCAGCCCATGCTCCCTCTAAGCTGTGGGGTCTTGTGAGCAGTGTTCCCTCTAAGCTGAGTTAGTGTGAGCTAGCTCACAGTTTTTTAGCCTCCGGCTCACACATTTTTGTCTCAGCTCAGGAAGGAGGGCTCCAGAGCAAACTGATTTATCCAGCAGCCAAATTGCTCGCTCACAACTTTAATGCCCAATAGCTCACAAGGTGGAATTTTTGCTCACAAGGCTCCACAGCTTAGAGGGAACATTGCAGTTGTGAGCAACAATTCTACTTTGCGAGCTCCTGGCATTAAAGCTGTGAGCGAGCGATTTGGCTACTGCATCAGTTAGTTGGCTCTGGAGCCCTCCTTCCTGAGCGAAGACAAAAATGTGTGAGCTGGAGGCTAAAAAACTGTGAGCTGGCTCACACTAACTCAGCTTAGAGGGAACACTGGTGCCAACCAGTTCTCTTCACTGGTCTCGTTCTAGTTACCTTCTGTGGGACTGGGAAGTGTGTGTGTCTGTCTTCACGGAGGTGCCACAGATTCCTGTGCCCTCAGGAGAGGTTACCCGTTGTGACTCTGCATGAGTTATCGTCAGCCAGGAGGCACATTCAGAACAAGGAGACACATGGGGGGGGCGGACTTCCTTGAGGACAGGTTATTTGTTGCTCTGTAGCTTCAGAGTATATCAGAAAGAAATGTTGCGCTAGTTTTAACTTTAAAAAAAGAAAGAAAGAAGCGCCTCTGGAAACATTGGTACAGAGGACAGAGTGTTGAAGAATGGTGCCCATAAAATGGTACTTTGTAGCAATACGCTCTCAAATGGACCATACAAATGATTGTGTCTCACAGTCCAAAGACTGATGGAAAAGGACTCAAGGTTCAAACAGCAGCCCTTTGTGGACCCATTCAATAGAACGAGGCCAGTTCGAAGTCCCCATTTTTTTTTTTGATAGAAATGTTAATTGCATCCACAGAATATAAAGCAGGGAAGGTGCAGAGCAGAACACCGCAGTATAGACGCCTGGATCTGGCGTGTTTGTTTTATTTATTAAAATACCCCCAGTGGATCCTCAGAGCAACTGACAATCGTAATATTAATGTGCTGCAAAACAATCAGATAGTTTGGAATGCAAAAAAGGGAAATTTAAAAAACAGGGCAGTCAGTGAAAGCAGTCACACTTTTATTTAAAGAAACCAGAATAAAGTATCTTTTGTGCATATCCCGGAGAACCAGAGTGATGTAGTGGTTAAGAGTGGCGGACTCTGATCTGGAGAGCCAGGTTTGATTCCCCACTCCTCCACATGCAGCCAGCTGGGTGACCTTGGGGCGGTCACCGTTTTCTCAGAACTTTCTCAGCCCCACCTACCTCACACGGTGTCTATTGTGAAGAGAGGAAGGGGAAAGGCGATCGTAAGCCGCTTTGAGACTCCTTAGGATAGAGAAAGGTAAAGGTAAAGGTTCCCTTGCTCGAAAGCCAGTCGAGTCCGATTCTAGGGTTGCGGTGCTCATCTCTGTTTCAAAGCCGAAGAGCCAGCGCTGTCCGAAGACGTTTCCATGGTCATGTGGCCGGCATGACTAAACACCAAGGTGCACGGAACGCTGTGACTTTCCCACTGAAGTGGTCCCTATTTATCTACTTGCAATTGCTTGCTTTCGAACTGCTAGGTTGGCAGGAGCTGGAACTAGAGATAGAGATAGCTCCAGGATAGAGAAAAGCAGGGTGTAAAAACCAACTCTGCTTCATCCTGTGGTTGAAGAAAAACTAGGCTGATAGTATCATGACCAAGCTGAATATACATAGCTCTCTGAGTGGAGTGTTCCGCAATCATTTCAACAAGTAGGTATCAAAAATTTCATCATAACTTAGTTGCAAGAAATTCTCTGAAGGAATGTTCCTAGGGCAAAGTGCTTGTATAAGGCATTAGACAAGCACTTTGCCCTAGGAACATTCTTTCAGAGAATTTCTTGCAACTAAGTTATGGTACATCGGTGAATATTAATGAAATTTTTGATACCTACTTGTTGAAATGACAGACCAAGAGTCGCTGCTTTCATCCACTTTCGGAAGAAGAATAGTATCGAAACGATAGAACATTCCGGAGACCATTGTCACACCATTTTCAACTGCCTTGTGCACAGTGCATTTATATGATTTTTTGTACACTCTTTTGTATAAATATTGTGATTGTTATTGAAATATTTTCTAGCGCAGTTACCTCACAGTTTCTTCTTTTTGCGGTCAATGGTGTGCCAGAGGCCATGATTCTTTTTTAATGGAGTAGGGTGGTCAAAGGAAGTGAAACAAGGCAAGGCACAGGGGTAAGGCAAATATACTTTAACTGCAGAAGAGAAAAGAGACCACAAGGCACACAAAGGTCTCTCACATCCCTTTAGTCATTGGGACTTTTTACAACAACAATGGTTCCCAGCAGCTGTGAGTCATCAGGTTCTAGGTCTTGACAGTCCCTTATGAAGGAGGCTGAAGCCAAGGAGGAATTGATCCTGTAGCCACTTGGATGGAAACTAGCTGCCACTACGCTCTGATCTCCAGCAGAAAATTCCCTCCTTTTCCAGGGGGTCTACGGTCGTACTGAATACCTCTAAGAGGTCTGGCGGGAGCCAGCACATACACTTCCCCCTGCTCAGCTGCTGGGGAAAGTGCAGCCAAGTCTCCAAAGCAGGCGAGAATCCACATTGGAAGGCTCCAGCTAGTCAGTACAGCTCTGGAGCAGGGCCGGCTCACTCACTAGGCAAACTAGGCGATCGCCTAGAGCGGGACGGCCCTTAGGGGCACCAAACTGCACCCGGCCCCGTAATCTGGGAGTTTCTTGATTATTTGTGTTTTTCATTCTTCCTAAAATGCATTTATTTTTGAAAATTGGTGGGCGCACGGGAGGGGGGCAGAAGGGATCCTCGCCTAGGGTGCAAAATAAGCTGGAGCCGGCCCTGCTCCAGAATATCTAAAGCTGTGCTGTCCCCACACCCTTAGGTAAAGGTAAAGGTTCCCTTGCTCGAAAGCCAGTCGAGTCCGACTCTAGGGTTGCGGTGCTCATCTCTGTTTCAAAGCCGAAGAGCCTGCGCTGTCCGAAGACGTTTCCGTGGTCATGTGGCCGGCATGACTAAACACCAAGGTGCACGGAACGCTGTTGCCTTCCCACCGAAGTGGTACCTATTTATCTACTTGCAATGTCTTGCTTTCGAACTGCTAGGTTGGCAGGAGCTGGAACTAGAGATGGGAGCTCACTCCATCATGTGGCACACTCGGGTCTCGAACTGCTGAACTACCGACCTTCCACAGCCTGCAGTTCAGCGTCTTAACCACTTGAGCCCCACACCCTTACAGCAGAGCAAAAAGTTCTGCACCTCTTAGGGTTCAGTATCTCAGATTTTAAGTGTACTTATTCTGTGGCTAGATTTCTAGAGGCTGCAGAGTCATATTGAAGGGAGGTGTTTTTTGGATAGGGTTTTTATTTGAGGGGTGGAGGGTTTTTTTTGCTAAGTTTTAATTGTTCAAGACTTGGTCTAAGAGTGGGGGAAGAAGAAGAACCCACCCCCTTCCATTCCTTCCCCAACGTGGTGGTTTTTGGCTCTAGCCAGTCCTTGAAATCATTGGCTCTGGTATGCCTCCATCTCTCAGTGGGGTGTTCATTGTTCCCCTCCCCCAAGTAGCCAGTCCCCTTTCAGCTGCTTTAAATTGGGGGGGGGGAGGGTCAAGGGCCTTCTCTCTCAGGGGCTCCATCCACCGCCTCGGGCTACACAAATGACTAAGTACCCGTACAAACGGAACAGCGACAGACCACAGCGACAGACCGTAGGAAAACTCAGATACGGTTCTGCAGTTAATGGAGAGTCTGGCCTGGAACAGAGACTGGCTGTTTAGCGACAAAAGCGCTCACAAACTGGTCCCAGTGGGCTACTAGCCTTTGAGGGGAAGGAAAGTAATAGGACTCCTGCAGCTCTGAAATGCTGTCTTGGATCGTCCCTGCATCTGCTTGAAAAGGGGCTCTAGCCCTTGGATGTCCTTGGCCCGGAACAGAAGGGCAGCAGAAGCCGCTGTCAGCAGGCATTTGAGAGGTGGGCGGTTAAGCATTAGCGTCCCGCTTTTGCCTGCCCTCCCTTTTGCTGATTCTGTCCCCCCCCCCTTTCTGTTGCAGGTATCTTGGGGATGGCCGCTTCCACCTGGAGTCCATCATGATAGCCAACCCGGGAATTCCTGCGTACAGGTAAGCGTGGGAGGGGAGGGGCAAAGGCCCCTCCAAAGGGATTTGCTTGGTTTTTTTTAAACCAGCTGGCATCTGATCAAGCCGGCTTCTTCCGTGATCTATTCCTTCGCTTTTGAAAGAGCCCCAAGAGAGTCTGTTGCTTCTTTTCCTGTGCCTCCAGGACCTGTGCCTCTCCCACTTGCGCCGCATCCCTCCCATGCCAGCAGTTTCTTCCGATTTGCTGCTCTCTGTGTTAACCATGGAGGAGGAGCCCAAAATATAGACTGGCCATTCATCTTCCTGTGGGAGTGGCTGATGGTTTGCCTCCATAGGAGAACCTCTGCAGAGTATCCTTCTGATGCGCACTGAAGAGAGAGGGTGTCAGGTCTTTCCAAGACTACCTAACCAGACGCTACTGGGAAGCCCAAAAGCGGGACATGAAGGTGTTCCTTTCTCCGTTGCTTCTCCTTGCCTTCTAATCGGCAGGGCTGTTTTTGGGCAGGAACGCACAGGAACGGAGTTCCGGCTGGCTTCCAAGTTGGCCACGCCCAGCAGGAACTCATTAGCATAATAGGCCACACCCAACAGCAGAAACTCATTAAGATTGGCTACATTAGGGGTGTGTGGCCTAACATGCAAAGGAGTTCCTGCTACAAAAAAAGGCCCTGGGTTTTGACAACAAACAAGGTAAACAGAATAACAAGCAAAAGGTGGGTGTGGCTGGATAACCACACTTCTGGTAACATGGGGGTGTGGCCTACTGTGCTAATGAGCTGTGCTGGCAGGGGTGTGGCCTAATATGCTAATGAGTTTCTGGTGTTGGGTGTGGCCTATTATGCTAATGAGTTCCTGCAGGGCTTTTTCTACAAAAAGAGCCCGGCTAATTGGGAAGGTTCCTTTTAGCTGTCGTGGCTGACGGCTGTCTGTCGGTGGGCCTCCCCTCCTTCCTGAATCATCTGATCCCCTCTAAAGCCGTCCAAGCCAGTGGCCATCCTTATATCCTGTGGCAGAGAGTTTCACAAGTTAATTATGATTGTGTGGTTAATGTATTTTCCCTTTAAGTGTGCTGCATCTACAGTCCATCTGTTTAATTGGACGACCACATGCTGTAGCACTGAAGTCCCCCCCCCCGAACATCATGCATAAATTTTACAAATTTCTGTTGCGTCATCCCCTAACTCTTCAGATGAACTGTTATCCCCTGAAAGGGAAGTGTTCCTTTTAGAACAGACACGTGGGAAACAAGAGATCTCTTTGCCTGTTCCGAAGCAACACATTAATCACTAAATCACAGGACTATGTATATATCGAGATGGCTACTCTCTTCCATACCCAATCTCTATAGGTTACAGCCCTCTGTCTGAAGGAGTCAGAAGTTTATTTATTTCCAGGTGTCAAGTAAAAACCTTGTACCCCAGGCAAAAGATCACTTGTGTTTCTTTTAAGGTTTTTATTTAAAATCAATCGAATCCTTCTTGAAACAAGTAAATATGGAAGAATCACTTTGACACGAAATGTACCTGCATATGTAAATGAGATCAGTAACAAGAAATACATATATATCATTCTTTATCTGATCTAATTAAAAGATAAAATGACAATTTCTGAGATTCTCACCAAAGCTTTTTCAGAAGGTTAGATAGTCTTGTGCAACCCACATCTGAGCGATTCAGGAGTGTTTTGGGTGTCATTCGGATAGGGGCCCAGTTACATGAAATCCACGTGACGGTGCCAAAACCTTCCAATTTGTCACTTCTGATGATATGAAGTGAGCGCTTCCCTGAGCCCAGAAGAAATTTGCTATAGAAATAAATGTATCAAGACCGTGAACTATTAGATCAACTTGTTCAGAGATTTTTCTGGGCATCCGTCCATCTGTTTAAAGTATCTCTCCTTCCCGAGGATGGGACATTGAGTACACAGCTGAGAAAGCAAAACGTGTACATGTTTTGCAAATCTGAAGAACTAAAACAAATGGTCAGGCCTGCTGTCTGTTCAACCAGTGCCTTTAATGGACAAACATCTACGACATCCTGGTCGCCTTTAACTGGAAAAGAATTCAGCTTTCTCCCCTCTTTGTCTTTTCCTTGTGTGGAATCTTTGCCTCCAGAGGCGCAGGAAGGCCAGAGATGAGGATTGCTACTGGGGCTTCTCCATGATCCTTTTTGCTGCTTTCCGCTCTAGGCTGCCCCCAGCACGGAGGGCACTAGGCAGGCTATGGCACACCCCTTCCTTCCGGCTCTGATTTTTGCCTCCCCAGCCCTGGCATCTGACTAGGGTCACTCCTGCCTGGCAGATCTGTCAGCCCGATTTGGGACTATTTTGTTAAAAAGAGTGGTGGGACGGGATGGGATGGGAGTTGCGATTACAGTGGGAAAAGAGGTCAAACCACTGCTGGCACTTTGGACATCTGCTTTGAAGAGAGGGGCCATTTACAGGTGCTGAATTGGGGTGGGGGAGAAACACAGGCCAGGTCTTGCACTTAGCGGACTTTTGTGTTCAGAGTGGGGGAGGTGAGAGTCCAGTAGCACCTTAAAGCAGAGGTGTCAAACATGCGGCCCGGGGGCCGGATGAGGCCCCCGGAGGGCTTCCATCAGGCCCGCAGTGGAACTGGCTATCTCCTGCTTCCAGTTCTGCTGCTGCTGCTGCATCATAGCTTGCTTCGCCAGACTCTCTTAATCACTCAGCCATTTCATGTTTTTACCTGGGTCCTAAACTCAGAACTCTGAGCGTGAGATTTCTGTGGTGAATGTCGATAAATCAAAAGTAAGTTTGCAGCTTGCAGAGCTAATGTTTTAAGCATGTTTTTATTTTAAGTTAAAAAAAAATCTGTGTTTGTGTCCTTTATAAAGTTTACATCTCCGCTACTTGGCGTTGCATTTTATGACACACACGGCCCAGCCCGACAAGGTCTCATTTATGTCAGATCTGGCCCTCGTAACAAATGAGTTCGACACCCCTGCCTTAAAGACTAACCAAATTTGTGGCAGGGGAGGTGCTTTCATGAGTTAACTGCTGACTCACGAAAGCTCATGCCCTGCCACATGTTTTGTTAGTCTTTAAGGTGCTGCTGGACCCTGCCACAGACAGACTAACTCAGCTACCCATCTTGATCTATCTTCAGAGTGTGTGTTTGTGTGTGGGTGGGTGTAATTTCTTTGTCCTGATCATAGTTCCCTCTAAGCTGAGTTGGTGTGAGCTAGCTCACAAATTTTTAGCCTCCGGCTCACACATTTTTGTCTTAGCTCAGGAAGGATGGCTCCAAAGCAAACTGATTTATGCAGCAGCCAAATCGCTCGCTCACAACTTTAATGCCAGTAGCTCACAAAGTAGAATTTTTGCTCACAAGACTCCACAGCTTAGAGGGAACATTGGTCCTGATTGACCTGATTTGCTCCCCTGTGCAAAGATGCCATTGGCTCTACCAGTGGGGTAGGGAGAAATGTGGATGCTGCACCCATCTAAAAAGGTAAAGGTTCCCTTGCTCAAAAGCCAGTCTAGTCTGACTCTAGGGTTGCGGTGCTCATCTCCGTTTCAAAGCCGAAGAGCCAGCGCTGTCCGAAGACGTTTCCGTGGTCATGTGACTAAACACCGAGGCACACGGAACACTGTTACCTTCCCACCGAAGTGGTACCTATTTATCTACTTGCAATTTCTTGCTTTCGAACTGCTAGGTTGGCAGGAGCTGGAACTAGAGACGGGAGCTCACTCCGTCATGGCACCCTGGGTCTCGAACTGCTGAACTTCTGACCTTCCACAGCCTGCAGTTCAGCATCTTAACCACTTGAGCCGCCGCAGCTCCTACCCCCCCAAAAAAAACCTTTGAGGGGGGAGAAAGGACAAGTTAGATCAAGCAAAGGATTGAAATGCCCCCTTTTCCCCCGTAAAATTGCCCTGGTCGGATTCGCAGCCTCCAGCAGCTGCTTTGAAATAAACACCCCTCTGCCCCCCATCCATGCATGAGAGCCAGCGTGTGTAGTGGCGAAGAGCGGGGGACTCTAATCTGGAGAACTGGGTTTGATTCTCCATGCTTCCTCCACATGAAGCCTGCTGAGTTTGGGCCAGTCACAAGTTCTCTCAGAGCTCTCTCAGCCCCACCTGTCTCACAAGGCGCCTGTTGTGGGGAGAGGACGGGAAGGCGATTGTAAGCAACTTTAAGGCTCCATGAGGTGGAGAAAAGTGGGCATAAAACCCCACTCTTTTTCTTCTTCATCATCCTGCTTTGCTTCAAGGGGGAGGCAGTTGGGTTCTGCAGTGGCTGTCTGCAGTTCGGCCTTTGACACACACACACACCCGTCCTGTTATGTTACATGGGAAAAAAATCTCCTACTCCTCTGTAAACAGAACACTGAGTCCTCTAAGCCACCCTCGGTGGGATAGTCTTACCCATGCTTCTCAGTCTGTTGGGTTTGGATGTTGGCAGGTCTCCAGTGGGAGGGAGTTCCAAAAGCGATCGAAGTGGCAGCCCCCAAGAACCAGTTTGCTTGTGAGTGGCCAGACGTTCTGTAGACCTTTCATACTGGTGCAGGGTTGCGTGGGACGGTCATTCCCATGAAGCGTCTGATCCAAAGAGGCTTCCTGCTGTGTCTCTGCATGGTTGAGTGTGCCCGCTTTGCACAACAAGTTACCCTGGGCTGGGGGCAAGTCATTCTGCATCACCGCTTCTGGTGTGGTCAGATCCTTCCATCGCTCCCAGTGCAGCAGCGGGACAATGGCCTGCTCTCAGAGGAGGCTGCCTGTTGCATCTCTGGATGCTGTGGTGGTGGTGGTTCCAGTAGGATACTGCATTAGTGTGGAAAGATGATTGCTGGACAGCTGCTTCTTTTGCACGTGGAAAGTTCCTCCAGGTGTAAGTGTGCCTCTGCTCTTTCATTCAGACATTTAATTCCATGGGCAGGAGTTTGGAACACCCCGATCTGAGTGTTTGTACCTCTCTAGAAGTGGCTCCAGTGGGGGAGGGGGAGCCGCCACCCGCATCAGGTGGAGTGGGTGCCATCAGCTCCTCTGAAATCTAAACATTTTGACAAGCACCTGCATAAGCGTTACGTGGAGCTCCCATTAAAGACTCCAGCTGCTGCAGGCACAGGCCATAAAACACCGTGATGAGGCTCCTGAAAGCCGATGAAATATCCGGTGCACGGGCAAGGCTGGGCCCACTCCTCGGAATCTGAATTTCTGAGTAGTTCATTTGTCACCAGCAGGCGGGGACGGCAGCTTTATGGGCTGGGGGGGGCGGCCCAGCCTGGGTGCAGCTTGATTAAAATTCCCTTTGTCGAGCCGGCCAACAAATCACCCATTTCCCTGGAAGTCAGGGAGCAGAGAGAGTGGACCAGCACTGTGGGAGAGCGTGTTGCAGCCTCCCATGGGTGGAAGGGGGCTGGGGGCTAGCCCCATTTCCACTCCCCATAACCAGACATCTCCTTGGGCTGTAGCTTTTGCATAGGGAAGATGGGACACCCCCCTGCCCACGGAGAGCCATTGCCACTCCGAGGATGTTGTCTGGGACCAGATGGATCGGTGGACTGACTTGGATCAGATTGGCCAGTGGCGAGGTAGAATGCTCCCTCTAAGCTGTGGAGTCCTGTGAGCAAAAATTCTACTTTGTGAGCTACTGGCATTAAAGTTGTGAGCAAGCAATTTGGCTACTGCATAAATTAGTTTGCTCTGGAGCCATCTCTCCTGAGCTAAGACAAAAATGTGTGAGCCGGAGGCAAAAAAACTGTGAGCTAGCTCACACTAACTCAGCTTAGAGGGAACACTGGTAGTGGGCTGTCGTGGTGGTGTCGGGGGGAGGGTGTCGCTGGTTTTTCCTGCTTGTACAGCCCGTGCCTTTGGAGGCTTGCACAAAGTGTCTCAAAACGATTTCATTCATTTCAATATTTACACTCAACAGCTCAACTTCCTGAAACCCAAATTAAAATAGGTTGTAACAGGTGCGGTACTACAAAAATATCCATGGCACAGCCAATCAACAGAGTGCCGGGGATTCAGAACCCAATCAGAAAGTGGCAGCTACTGAAATCTGGTTCTTCTATTTGACAAAAGGCCACTTTCGCACTGTCATTTTTGTCTCTTTTTTGTCCCAATTACTTTGGGTCCGTCCGCCCCCCCCCTTTCCACACGTGTTTTGCTCCCTCTGGGACTACTAGAGAGAGCAAAACACATGGGGGGGGGGGACCCTGAAGCAATAGGGACAAACGAGTACAAAAATGAGTGTGGAAGTGGCCAAAGTGAGCTTTGACTCACAAAAGCTGATGGCCTGCAACGTTTGGTGGTCTGTAAGGTTCCACTGGATTCAATTTTTGTAAAAGCTCTTCTGAAGGGCATTGCTGTATCCTGAGGCCAAAAATGCCATTGGAAAAACGGTGCCGAGCCCATTTTCCTGGGGAAAGGAGTTCCACCATCTTGGTATCGCTCAGACAGTGCGGCTCATGGAAAGGGTCCTCCACGGAAGATCTTAAGAAACGGCTGCCTTCCTATGGGAGTCCTTTATCCTGAATTTAGGCTATGTGGGGCTTTAAAGTTTAAAACCAGAACTGAGTCTTGAGAATTCAGGGCCAGTGGAGTCAACACACAATTGGCCTAGCCCCACCTGAAGATTATATTCTGAACTGGAAAACATTTCTGGATGCTCTACTCATATATTTATTTATGTAATGAGTGGATCTATTTCTGAAGCATCGAAGTCTCCCAACTTTGTTTAAGAACGCCCCAGGCAAGCTTGCACAAAGTTATTAAAATGCATCTTGATAAAAATAGGATCTGCGCTAAAAAGGGGGGGGGGGTAAACTGGCAGCACACGACAAAACCTACTGCCTTGTCTACATCCCAAAACTGAGCAGTAAATATCTGAAACTGAGCCAGAGCACTAAAATGTAACAAAACTAGGAACAGAAGGTGATGTACCAGGCAGGACAAATGGAGGGAAATCTAACAACTCAGCAAAATAAGCAAATTTTCCCCCGGTGCTTTGAAACTTAACAAGCTTGGTGCTAGGTGAACTGTGGTAGGGAGGGAATTCCAAAGGAGGTGCCGCCGCCGCCGCTGTTCGCCACCCATGGGAGCGAGCAGAGCAATGGTGGGTGTTAAAGGTTTTAGCTGACAGGCAGGTTTGCATGAGAGCAGGTAGCCCTTTACATTCCTTGATCCAGACTGTTTAGTGATATAGAAGGAGGAACCAGCACTTTGAATCCAATCAAAGAAAGCTGGCAGCCACAGGAGTTCTTTAAAATCAGACGAAATACGTTCTTTCTTTATGCCGGTCAACAATCTGGCTGCCGCCTTCTGAGCCAGCTGAAGTGTCTGGGCTGCCTCCAAGGGCAGTCTCACATAGAGCAGATTACAGTAGACAAACCCGGATGTGAGGAGAGCATAGAGAATTGTTCAGGTCATGTGTTCCAAAACAAAGCTGCAGGTGGCACATCAACTGAAGGTTGGTTAAAGGTGCTATAGAAGATACCTCAGCCATCGTCTTAAAGACAGATCTAGCAGGGCTATTTTTGGGCAGGAACGCACAGGAACGGAGTTCCAGCTGGCTCCTGAGTTGGCCACGCCCAGCAGGAACTCATTAGCATAATAGGCCACACCTAACAGCAGACACTCATTAGGATTGGCTACATTAGGGGTGTGCGGCCTAACACGCAAAGAGGTTCCTGCTACAAAAAAAGCCCAGGGTTTTGACAACAAAGTAAACAGAATAAGAAGCAAAAGGTGGGTGTGGTTGGATGACCACATTTCTGGTAACATGTGGGGTGTGGCCTAATATGCTAATGAGCTGTGCTGTCAGAGTTGTGGCCTAATATGCTAATGGGTTTCTGCTGTCGGGTGTGGCCTATTATGCTAATGAGTTCCTGCTGGGCTTTTTCTACAAAAAAAAGCCCTGAGATCTAGTAACACCCCAAAGCTGCGACCTTACATTTTGGGGGGTGCAACGGTATCTAAAATAAGCCAACAGCACCTTAGTCTTCTCTTGATGGGGATTCAGTTTATCTAACCTGGTTTCAGAACAGCAATGGTCTCAGCTGATTTGGCTTACGTATTGGTGGCGTTTCATCCAGATCTGTGGACAAGTTTCTCCAAGCAGTTTCAGCATTAGGGACAAGACAGCACAAGAAGAAGAAGAGAAGAGATTGGATTTATACCCCGCCCTTCACTCGGAGTCTCAGAGCGGCTTACAAACTCCCATCCCTTCCCCTCCCCACAACAGACACCCTGTGAGATAGGTGGGGCTGAGAGAGCTCTTGACAGACACTGCTCTTTTCCAAGAACAGCTCTTGTCAGAACTATGGCTTGCCCAAGGTCATCCAGCAGCTGCAAGTGGAGGAGCGGGGAATCAAACCCGGTTCTCCCAGATTAGCGTCCGTGCACTTAACCACTACACCAAACTGACTCAAATGCTGTGAAGCTGGGCAGCTCTCCTCAGTGCCATCTTCTGATGCCTGCCAGACAAGACTGAAAACACTGCAGTGCAGAATCCCTGATACACCTCTGGCTAACTGGCCAGAAGAATATCGTCACTACATAAGGGGCTTTAAAAAAAAATGCGGGAACTATCAAGATTTTCAATCTGTATACTGGAAACTTGTGAACTTTTAAACATTTTGAAAAGAATTTTGTCAAAGTGGTTCTAGAACTCTGTTCCGGTGCGTTCCCCCAGGAAAAAAAAGCCCTGAAAGTATATTATATACTATACAAAAGTATAGAAAGCTGGAGAGGAATTCAGTGGAATCGACAGGAGAAAAATTGCAAGATCTTATCTGCTCTGTAAACAGCTTTCCTACACTATGGGTTATTAAATTATTATAAATATTAATTCAGTTATTAAAGAAGTATATATAACAATCCCAGAAGGCTTCAGGCCTATTGTCTTGTAATCCTTACAACAGTCCTGTAAGGCAGACTGGCATTATTTATGCCCATATTGCAGATGGGAAGACTGAGACGGAGTGGCTTGCCCAAGGCCACCTACAGTGGGATCCTAAGAACATTTTCCTGGGAGTAAGCTTCACTGAATCGACTTGAGTAGGATTCTGAGTAGGCCTGCATAGGATGGATCTCCGAATGAGTTTGTGGCAGAGGCAAGATTTGAACCCCGAGAGTCCCATGACACCTGACTCAGTCTAGTTTGAATTGTGTGGGCTGATCTGTGTGTTGCAGCACAAGAGTTTTGACCCTGACTCATGTTGTAGCTCTGTGCGTGAGACCTGTGGGGAGGCTGCTTGTGCGCTGGGGGGGACAAAGGTATGTTCCCCCAAGAGCACTACGATCGGGGAACTCCCATCTCCTGGTAGTTCCAGGTCCCCGAGAGATCAAGTTTTCCACTACTAGGGCCAGGACATTTTCGGTGGCGGCTCCTACCTGGTGGAATGAGCTCCCAGATGAGATCCGGGCCCTGCGGGACCTTATACAGTTCCGCGGGGCCTGCAAGACGGAGCTCTTCTGCCAGGCGTTTGAGTAGGAGCCGCCGCCGCCACTACTATCCTACCAACGAGGTAGTGTGCCATCAGCAGCCCAGTTAAGGGGGACTGGCCCGGCCTGGTAGAACAGCGTAGCAGGAGACCGCGTTGCTGAGAGAGCTGGCTATCAAATTTAGGTGGTTGTCCATCTTGGAAGATTAAATATAGGCTCAGCACCGTGTGATAGGATGGTTTTATTGTGTTTTAAATATGTAATTTATTATATGTTTTATTGTATTTTACTCTGGCTTTGCCATATGTAAGCCGACCTGAGCCGTTGGGAGGGCGGGGTATCAATCAATCAATCAATCAATCGCTCAATAAATAAATAGTGAGTGCAGGGCTGGAGCAAGGGGCATTGTGTGTATGTGCGAGAGAGAGAGACGAGAGGTTTCTCTTTGGGGAGGAGATGGGATACCCAGCAGCTAAATGCCCCTGCCTTCCTTGTTGCAGGTATGATCCCTACAGCAAGGTCTTCTCGCGAGAGCACTATGACCACGAGCGCATGCAGGATTCACGCAAGGAAGCCATCCGCAAAGCATCCCAGGCCTCCAAGTGGGGGCTCATCCTGGGGACCTTGGGGCGCCAGGGGTCTCCGGCCATCCTACAGGTGAGCCGCTTCCCCATCTTTTAAGATTCATAGCCTGCTTGTCCACAGGGCCTAAGAAAAGAGGAAATCATAAAAGGCTTTGAACACTGCTGCCACACCCAAAGCCCCATACACATCACACTTAATCCTTTACGAGAGTGGCTTAATTAACTAATTAATTATCCTATGGCCTTGTGTGTCGTATAGCCAGGAGATCCTAAGATCGCCCGGCAGCTAGAAGTTCTAGCTCTTTTAGTATTATGCACCGCTAGGTGGCAAGCGACACTGGTTTTTAAGGCAAGAGACGTTTCAGAGGTGGTTTGCCATCATCTGGCTTTGTGTCATGCCCCTGGTATTCCTTGGAGGTCTCCCATCCAAATACTAGCCAGGGCCGACCCTGCTTAGCTTCCGAGATCTGACGGGATCATTTAGATCAGGGCAGAGAGAGTGACAGGCCCAAGGTCATCCAGTGAGCTTCCGTGGTACAGTGGGGGATTCAAGTCAGGGTTACCCAGATCCTAGTCCAACCTGGAAGGCCTGGGGAAAAAACGGAAAAATTAGGGGGGGAAACGGTTTTTCCCCGTTTTTTTCCTGAAGCCTTTTTTGTTTTTTCCCGAAAAATTGGAAAAATTGAAAAAAGAAAAGCAAATTTATTATGGAACGTTTTATTTTAACATGATGAATAAAATATTTTAAGACAAGGTGTTCAAATATTTTCCAAATCATTTCTAAAATATATATATATGGTATCAGATTGATCTAATTTCTGTGCACTGAGGGCAAGCAAGTCCTAGGTTACAAACTGAACTCTCCAATGCAAGAACAAGATGCATTTCTTCCTCTAGGAGGTGCGATTGTCAGAAGAAAATAAAAAGGTTTCAGTTTTGTTTTTGCATGTGAGTGGGTATTCTGTTTGTAATAATTGTTTGGATACACTATATTTTTAATATGCTAGTTGTGATAATTCTATGCCAGGTAAAAATGTCCATAGTCATATTTTATGTTCCTAAAGTAACAGAATGACTTTCAATCTACAAAAGACAAAAGAAATGCTAATGTAGCATTTTTTTCAATTTTTCCGAAAATTTCCGTTCTCCCCCCCGAAAAAAACTGGGGAAAAAAACGGGTTTTTTTCCGAGGTTCAAAATTTCCGGAAATTTTACATCTCTAATCCAGCCTTCTAGCCTCTGTACCACCCTGGTCTGCGATGCTTGTCCTTTGTCTTCTTTGGAACCCCCTCTTAAGGAAGCAGCCCTGGCTGATACAGCTGGGGAGTTGCACCATTGGTGTGTGTGGGGTGTGTGGGCTGTATGTGCAGGGAAGGAGGACTAGATTCAGCCAGGCTGCCTTTCATTCTACTTCCTGTCATAGCCAATCTGCTTTATTGTCCTGCCACTGGTGTTCTTCATGAATAGTCCAGCTGGCGGGTTTGGAGCATCAGAAGGGAGAACTCAGTGCAGTGGTTAGGTGTGCGGACTCCAATCCGGGAAAACCAGGTTTGATTCCTCCACTCCTCCACTTGCAGCTGCTGGATGACCTTGGGCAAGCCATAGTCCTGACAAGAGTTGTCCTTGAAAGAGCAGTTCTTGAAAGAGCTCTCTCAGCCCCACCTACCTCACAGGGTGTCTGTTGTGGGGAGGGGAAGGGATGGGAGCTTGTAAGCCACTCTGAGACTCCAAGTGAAGGGCGGGGTATAAATCCAATCTTCTCTCCTCCTCCTCCTCTTGATGGTGGGCGGGGGAATGATCAGACCTGGAGAACCTTCATGGGAGCTGGTAGAACTGTTGATCTGATCGCTCTCCTGCCTGGGCTAGTTGCTTTTCCCACTCTTTCTTCTACTGCCTGTGTCTGTACCAAGTGACGTCCCTTAGTGGGTTGGGGTAGGGGTCATGGAAAGTGCCGTCAAGTTGCACCCGCAACCTCATAGGGTTTTCAAACCAAGAGCTGAACAGAGGTGGCTTGCCATTGCCTGCCTCTGCGTAGCGACCCTGGACTCACCGGAAGTCTCCCACCCAAAATACTAACCGTGGCCAACCCTTCTTAGCTTCTGAGATTTGACAAAAGCCAGGACAGGGTTGGTATGGGGGACAGTGTGGATATTAATCCAGGACTGCCCGCCTCCCACTCCATATTCAAGTGGGCTTGGATCTCCCACTCTGTCCAGAGGTTTGCATTGGGAGGGCAGGGGGTACTTTTTGCAGACCTGGCAAGGCAGTGAAAGGGTTAAGGCCTGAATAATCTGTCCCCCCCCCTCCAGGGAGCCTTGTGGCAAAGTAGGGCACATCTTTCCTACTTTTCTCTCCCTCCTCTCAAGGTCTTCCCTGACTCTTCTGCCCTGTTCCTGAGACAGGAGCTTTCCGGAGGCCACACACTGAATCCAGGGCCAATTGCTGCCAGCTGCTGGTGAGTGGTGGGCGGCTGAGGATCCCTGGCCCCTCCAGCCTTAACCCCCTTCCCCTCTTCTCCGCAGCACTTGGAGTCCTGCCTTCAGGCCTTGAAGCGCCCCTTCGTTCGGCTTCTGCTCTCAGAGATCTTCCCAGGCAAGCTGCAGCTCTTTCCCGATGTCGAGGCGTAAGTTCTGAGCAAGATGTCTTACTGTGGTTGGGAAGCGCCCTTTCCTTGGGTTGCCAACTTCGGGGCAGGGCCTGGAGTTCTCCTGGAGTTACAGCTCATCTTCAGTCTATCTGTCTGTCATAGGAACATAAGAGAAGCCAATGTCAGATCAGGCCAGTGGCCCATCCAGTCCAACACAATGTCACACAGTGGCCAAAAATACCAGGTGCCATCAGGAGGTCCATCAGTGGGGCCAGGACACTAGAAGCCCTCCCACTGTTGCCCCCTCCCCCCAAGCACCAAGAATACAGAGCATCACTTGCCCCAGCCTGAGAGTTCCTATCTATCCCTTGTGGCTAATAGCCACTGATGGACCTCTGCTCCATATGTTCCCTCTTGAAGCTGTCCATTCTTGTAGCCGCCACCACCTCCTGTGGCAGTGAAGTCCATATGTTAATCACTCTTTGGGTGAAGAAGGACTTCCTTTTATCTGTTCTAACCCGACTGCTCAGCAATTTCATTGAGTGCCCACAAATTCTTGTATTGTGAGAAAGGGAGAAAAGTACTTCTTTCTCAACCTGCTCTATCCCATGCATAATCTTATAAACCTCGATCGTGTCACCCCTCAGCCGTCGTTTCTCCCTGGCCCCTCCAGCCTAACCCCCTTCCCCTCTTCTGTCTGTCTGTATAGTACTGTCTGTCTGTCTAGGACTGCTCATGTGGCTATTACCTTAAACAGAAATTAGAACCCCCCAAAATATTTTTAAAAGACCTTACCTCAGGTATTATTTCTCTTATATTTGGTTATTGCACCTAGGCGACACGATCGTTTGCATCCAACAGTAGCTGTGACACCTGGACTTGCACATTTAGCAATTCCTTATCTTTTAAATAAAAGGGTGACTAAATTAGCCCTCGACTCGTTGAATATAGGGCACTCCATAATCATATGGGTACCAGTTCCCCTGGAGAAAAATAGCAGCTTCAGAAGGCAGACTGCTATACCGTAGACTCCAGGTGAAATCGCTTCCCAAATTAACCCATCCCGCAGGCTCTGCCCCCAAATCTCTGTGAGTTTCCTGGGCCAGAGTTGGCAACCTTCCCCCCTCCCCAGCACTATCACCTCCTTCAAGCCCTGTTGCCACAGCTGCAGCTCCCCACCCCACTCCGGAGTCAAGGTCCGGGGTCAGCCCTGGCCCTGATTTATTTGCTGGTGATGCCTTGGCAGCCATGCCTGGGCTTCTGTACGTGGCATGCATGTGATTCACCCACTGCTCTTCTTGCAGGTGGGTGCAGGTGGCATGCCCCCGACTCTCCATCGACTGGGGAGAGGCCTTTGACAAGCCTCTGCTCACACCCTACGAGGTGAGCTTCTTGTGTCTGTTTCCCAGAATCCGTCCATTTCCCAGAATCCATCAGCAGCACCCTTCACACACTGGGAGCATCCCGGGCTGCGTTTCACCTGGTCTGTGAGCCAAGGGCCAGTTACGTTCCAGTTGGGGGAAGAGGAGCAAATGATGGCATGCCCAAGCAAGAATTTGAGCCCAGGGTGGTGCGTGTAAGAGGATTCATGGAGCTACGCTTCAGCGTGCTGGATCTGGGGTCTAGTCCACTCTGACAGGCCGGGTAGCATTTCATGGAAAGGGGCTGTTGCTGAAGCATTTGCTGACCCCCCCTCCTTCCCTTCCCAGGCTGCTGTGGCTCTCAAACACGTTGCTTGGCAAGAGACCTACCCCATGGATTTCTATGCCAGCCAGTCCTTGGGACCCTGGACGGCAAACCACAGCTCCCACCGCCCCCAACAGAAGAGAACCGTCAAAGAGGTGAGCATTACAAGAATTTTTGCAGGGATGGGTCAAGGAGGACTGTGTCCTGCTTGGCCTCCTTCTGACCCTAATCACAGATTGTTGCCTGGCCTGCTTGCACACAGAGGGGGGAAACGTCCGATACTGATTCAGCCAGTTGTCTTCTTGGACTGGCAGCCCTCCCCCGACCTCTGTATAAGGCTCCTCCCTGCCTTGCTGCCTTGAGGTCCTTCTGATTGGAGAACCTGGGAGCTGAACCTGGAAGCTTCTGCATGCGATGCAGGTTTCTGAGCCCAGGGCTGGTCCTGAAGCATATGAGGGGACTCGTGGGACCCTCTGATGCTCTGTTGCATTCACCAGATGCCATGTGTTGCCAAGAAATTTCCTCTTCCAGACTGAAAACGTCCTCTGCAGTGTTATGGCCAGGTGCCAATGCAGCATGTGCAGTTAGTCTGTTACAAGGTCCAGTTCTGAGAGAGTGCCTTCTCCTGGGGAATGGTGGGCTCAGATTTGGGCTCCTGGTTCAATGGGCATCTCTGCCCAACATGGCTCACAGGGCCTTTCTGGAGCTCCTGTTTGTTTTTCAAAACATGTGGGGTTTTACCCTTTTTTGTTTCTCTGTCCTCTTCTCCCCCCTTCCAGCTGTTCCAATGCAGGGTCATTTATGATAGCTAAAACACTCGTGTCTGTGGTATGACTTGAACACATTTGCCCAGTCGATATGAGGGTAGTTAAAATCACCCAGTATTACATTTGCTGCTTTAGTCACCTGCCTTGTTTCCTTCTCCATTTCAAGGTCACCCTCAGGGTTTTGATAAGGCCCACGATAGTACACTTCCCCTTAGAGACCAGTATGTCCACCAATGCCTATTCCATCAGGAATTTTATTTACCTTACATTTTCCAGCTTATTTGACCCTACACAACACCGCCGTTGTGTAATGAAATAAATATGCAACTAAAACAATAGAGTCCCCCAGTGGGATAACAGCAACTATGAAGAGCTCAAAAGGAAGTGAAACAGGTCAGGCATAGGGCTGCCTGACACCATCCCGCAAGGATGCAAGGCAAGAGCTAAAAACAAAATTCAGGCAAACGGATGGACCTCAAAGAGGTCAAGAGCCAAGTAGGCTCGAGCAAAAATAAATCCGTAAATTCAGACCAAATGTCGTGCTATTTCACATTCTTTTCTTGATAAAGGCAGCTTTTCCCTCGACTGCCTCACATTGCTTCAGTCCATATTTCAATATATGTAGCTATTACCAAGGCTTTTAAGATCCAGAACTTTTGTTCTTTCAAGAGGTTCCAGGAAGAAGGAACGTACTCTAATGACTGCAGTAAGTGCATTAAGATCCAGTGAACCTTCTAGTGTAAAATAAATTAGTCTATCAATTTCTAACCAAAATGGCATGATAATTGGAGATAACCGTAGCACACAGCATTACTGGAGCATGTCTTAAAATGACCGAGAGAAAAGAGCAGCCTTGAACCTGCTGAGGTTCCCTGTCCAGAGAAAAAGGAACCAAATCTCCCGTCAGGGGTTATTCACTTTGAGAGCCAGCTTTACTCGATATTTTTAAGCTTATCCACACAGCATATTTACCTTATTATTTTCTGTTACACAAACCTTTGTGGTTCATCACCAGCTGTGTCGGCTTGTCCGTCAAGTCGAAAATCTAAGCAGCAGGGGTCTTTTTTTTAACCTCACATATAAGCACAGCCTTAGTCTAGCAGGTTTCCAAATAGGAGGCCTTCAGGGCACGCATAGCTTACACGCTACCTAATTTTATGCTTCTGTCCCGTTTTATTTGATTGTGGGCAGTTGGGGTATAAAGAATCTATAGGAGAGGCCAGAGCGGGGGATTGGATATTCTTCAGTGTGTCCCCCCCCCCCAATTCTCTCACCCCGTAACCACCACAATAAGACACGCAGCTAGTGAACTTCACCACATTAGCATTATCCCTGTTTCTGATTGGGTCCTTTGCAGTTTGAGGAATATGTCTTTCCAGTGGAATTGACTTCAGTAGGCTCAGGAAGGTATTACCCTGCTTAGGACAGCGCTGTTTGTTGCTTGTTGATGTCAATCCGGGTGGGGGAGAAAGAGTGGGGGAGAAAGAGTGATGGAGAAAAGAGCCAGGAGTCCTGATGTCAGGAGACCCTTGGCCTGACTAGCTTTTCTCCCTTTGAGCCCCCCTTGGGGACTCTGGGTGACTCTTACTGTTTTAACGGCACATTTATTTCACGCTTTAACGATAATTATAGGAGCATCTCCTTTGCCCCGTGAAACAGTTCTCGTTGCATTTAAAACACAAACCCACCCCTATACTACACAGCTCTTTGCATCGAGGGCTGTCCGCTGATTAGTTCATTAATCATCCGAGTTTAAAGGCAATTAAATAAACTTGCTTATCACTGTTCCCACCACATTGGCACAGATTTGAGACTGCCGAAGGAAGCATGAGAGAGCCTGCAATCTAATAAAACTTTCTTTTTTCATTCCGTAATACATTCAGGGGGGAATTATGAGTTTGCCATTTAATCTCATTCCTGTCTATTAAAATTTGCTTCCGCCAATTAATCAACTGAAGCTTTAGTTCAGTGTTTCTCAAGATTTTTTTATACCTTTTGCATAGTCCCCCCCCCCTTCCTGAAATTGGAGGCTTGCTTCACACTCAAGGAGGCATATATAAGTATTTCCTGGAAAATGAGCTGGCAGCCCTTCCCCTTGAAAAACCACACATGATCCTCCTTTTATCTGTTTAGAAAATATACACACTACCTTGCCAGAGACCAGCTCAAGGTAAAGGTAAAAACAGTACAGTAAAATCATAAAAACAGATTGTAATATAATTAAGTGCTGTCAAGTCCAGGGGTCATTTCCTGCAGGAGCGCACAGGAGCAGAGCTCTGGCAGTAAAGAGCCCAGGGGGCGGGCACATGCAGCAAGCCACACACCCTGCTCCCAGCAGCCCTCAGTCAGAGCAAGAAGCAGCCAGGTAAGCTGCAGAGCCCCCCCCCCCCGGCCCAAAACAGTCTAGTGGCACCTTTAAGACCAAGTTTTATTCAGGTACAAGCTCTCCCTCCTCTGCGAGGACAGATCTGCACGTCTCCCCGCCCCCAATACCTAGCAATCCAAAACAGTCCAGTGGAGCCTGAGCAGTGGGTGTTGCCCTCTGACACACTTCCGGTGATGTCAGGGGGCGTGGCATATGCAAATAAGTTATGCTAATGAGTTATGCTAATGAACTCCTGCACCTCTTTTTCTATGAAATGACCCCTGGTCAAGTCACAACAGACTTACGGCAACCCCATGGGGTTTTCAAGGCAAGAGAGGTGCAGGAGTGCTTTGCCATTGCTTTCCTCTCCATAGCAACCCTGCGCTTCCTTGGTGGTCTCCCAGCCAAGTACTAAGCAGGGCCGACCCCACTTAGCTTCCGAGCTCTGACAAGCGTGGGGAAGCCTGGGCTGTTCAGGCTGCATATGAGTCGTAGCAAGCCATACAAACAAGCCAGGGCAGAAAAAAGGCATTAAAACATTCAGCAATGCCTCCCATCCTCCTCTTTGCCTGATCAGCTGGTACTCAGGGTGGGACTCAGTGTTTCCTGAGCAAGGCAGATGCTTCTGGGATTCCCCTCGGCCCGTCCATCACAGTGCTGGAGCATCTTTCCCTCCAGATGGTGTCACTGCGCGGGGATCGGGGCTGCACATGGACTCTTCACTCTTCACAGAGCAGGTCGGGAGAGACTGGCCTCTTGAGGCACGGCAGCCTCTGAGACCTGGACCTGGCAGGGGCTTGTGGCCTGTGTCTCCCCCCCACAAACATGTTTACTTGCCTTAGCCACAAAAGCTAATCTTACCACGGAAGGCCATCAGCATTTATTGGGAAAGCATGAGAGTCCACTTGCGTCTTTGTTCAAGGAGTGGTTACATCCAGCGCAGGGTCTAAACTTTGCAAGGCACCATCTCATCTCTTCATAGCAGATGGCTTGAGAGTAAGCAACCCATTTCTAGTAAATCTGCCTTTAGTCCTGACAGCCGAGGACCCAAGGTGGGTCAACGAGAGGGAAGAGCAGTCAGCATTTGCTCGTGCTCAGAGGAGTCTTTTGAGGCATTTCTTTGGAGTCGGAGGAAGGAGGGGGACCAGGCAGAAGCAAATTCACCAAAGTGTAAGCGTTTGATTGGGTGGGGGGGATCCCAGCTGGTTGAGTGGCCAGAGCAGAGATTTCAAACTGAGTGCGCTCAGAGTTCGGAGGCCCAAGCGGGCAGAGTGGAGCGGATCTGTCTTACTTCCCAGCTGGGGGCAGCACTCTGGGTGGCTATTTAAAGAACTGGTTTGACAGCTGTCCGGAATGGGCCTGTTCTGTTCCGTTCTTCTCAATAAAGGCGGGAGCCGCTTTTGGTGAGTGGGGGTAGCTCTTCCGCCTCAAACTGTCAGCAGAGGAGCACAAAATGTTGTCCCTGCCGAAAGAGAGGCTTCCGGAGTCGCTTCTGTTTGGTGAGGGAAGAGTAGCAGGGGTAGGCCTCATAAACCCAAGGGAGTGGCTACAGTGTGAACATAAGAACATAAGAGACGCCAATGTTGGATCAGGCCAAAGGCCCATCCAGCCCAACACTCTGTATCACACAGTGGCCAGAAATACCAGTGCCATCAGGAGGTCCACCAGTGGGGCCAGGACATTAGAAGCCCTCCCACTGTTGACCCCCCCAAGCACCAAGATGACAGAGCATCACTTGCCCCAGAGTCCCTATCTATACCTTGTGGCTCATAGCCACTGATGGACCTCTGCTGTGTGGGGAGGAGACGGCCACTGGCTGCCGAGTTCTTCCTCACCACGGTGTCTTCTGATTGCAGAGGAAACTGGCAGAGCCCACAGAGCCTGCGGGAGCGAGCGGAGGCCGCCAAGAGAAGGAAGACCCACCCCCACCCCAGCAGCCTTGAAACGCTTTGCGTGCCAAAGCCCACAGAGTGAACAAGATCCCCACACCGTAAGGAGCAGCAGGCTGTGAACTTTGGGAGGCGAGAGCCAGGGAGTGTCTGGGGTCCTCTGGCAAACTGGGAGGGCAGCAGCAGCTGCTGATTTTTGTGCCTTGAGCCCCCCGTCGCCATGTGGTGTGTCCGCCCGGGAGGGCCTGAGCCCCGCTCAGCTTTGGGGCAGTCAGGCAGCGGAGGAGGGAAGGAAGTTCCCCTGTTCCCATCCCTCACGGGTAGAGATGTCAGGGTGGAGGCACTTGCAGGGCAGGGCAGGAGGCTGGATTGCAGGTTGCCAGCCGAAGCTTCCCGTCGCTGGTGGCTCAGAAGCCAAAAGCTCCGAGCCAGCTTTTCAGGCTCCTTGGTGGGGGCAGAAGCCACAGAGCAGGTCGGGAGAGACTGGCCTCTTGAGGCACGGCAGCCTCTGAGACCTGGACCTGGCAGGGGCTTGTGGCCTGTGTCTCCCCCCCCACACACACGTTTATTTGCCTTAGCCACAAAAGCTACTCTTACCACAGAAGGGCCATCAGCATCTCTCGCAGTTGGTCTCCCCTACGGCAACCGACTGACCTAGCTGGGTCTCCTTTTCCTCCCGGACTAAACAGTGAAGTGAATCTTTTTTGTCGCCGCTGGTGCCAGCTGGGTCAAAGGTTCAGTGGCAGAAAGGACAGAAAGTGGATCTTTGAGGGGAGCAGGGCAGACATTTCCCTGAAGGCAGAGCCAAACTTTTTTTGATTGGCCCGGAAGTAAGGGGAGAACACAGGTTTCTACCAGGGAGCGCCGTCCCCCTTCAAAGACTCTGAAGCCAGCATCGTTAACTTTGGTTTTGGTGGACATTTAAACATGTTTGGGGGTGGGTGGTTTAAAAAAGTATATGTGGTATTTCTTTCCCACCTCAGTACATTTTCATGAAGAATTTGTATAACTTACAATAAAGTAATTGCTTGTATGCTACTTGCCTGCATTATTCCAAAACCTCAAAAAGAATGTCTGATTAGCCCAGTTTAGTTATATTGTTGGCACAGCATTCTAATCACCGTGCTTGAAAACTTATATTTACTTGGTAACCTTGAGCCAGTCACACATTCTCAACCTAACCTACCTCACAGGGTTGTCATGGGGACAAAATGAAGGTGGTGTGAATGATGTAAGCTGCTTTGGGTTCCCAGCAATGCTCCCTCTAAGCTGTGGAGTCCTGTGAGCAAACATTCTACTTTGTGAGCTACTGGCATTAAAGTTGTGAGTGAGCAATTTGGCTCCTGCAGAAATCAGTTTGCTCTGGAGCCATCCTTCCTGAACTAAGACAAAAATCTGGGAGCTGCAGGCTAGAAAATTGTGAGCTAGCTCACACTAACTCAGCTTAGAGGGAACACTGGTTCCCAGTGAAGTGAGTAAATTATAGCTGAAGGTGAAGGGCAGATGAAAAGTGAGATGCTCTGTGCAAGTCCCTGCAGGTTCACCGCCATGCAACTGGCCCCTGCCTGGCTGGCACCCTCCACCTGGGTCAGCTTTTTCCTGGAGAGAGGCAAAGCTGAAGACAGAGGACAGATAAAGGTAGGTTGGCTGGTGGGTAGGAAGAAGGAAGCAGGAAAAGGGGGGAGGCTATGGCAGCTTTCGGGAAGGAGGAAATAGTTGGGGGGAATAAGATGCTCCCTATAAATCCTCTGCCTATATTTACCTCCCACCAAATTTTCTCTGAAATAAAAACCATCTTGCACACCTTCCTGTATGCAGCAAGTGAAGGTACTCTCCGCACCCACTCTGGTAAGCCATTCCAAAGGACTTGTCCTACCACAGAAAAATTCCACAATCTGACTGTTGCCTGGTGAAAGTTATTAGATGTCTATGTAGCAAGTATTTGGGGAAACTGCACCTGTAGAATTTCTCACTGGGCACATCCCCCAGAGCCCAAAAGTGTGTGGTTGCCTGAAGCCTACTGGTGAGGAAACATAGGTGAAAAGATAAGAGCATGTTTGTTGGTGGGGATTGTGCAGAAAGGAAGGTGTAACATCACTATTTTTACACCACATGAGGACTTCGAAGCAACAATACGATGCTGTTGAAGCACCACTAGTTCATTCTTTTGCAGCTCAAGAGGCTGAAGCTGGCTTCAATTTCCTTTATTTACCCCCCCTGGTTCTTGGTTCTCCAATCCAGCTACAAATATTGATGATGTTTATATAAAGCTTTTAAGGTTACCATAAATCATAGCCTCCCCCAGCTATGGAAGGTGACATACATTGGGGCTTGTGTTTTGCACAAAGTGCTCCAAAGTACAATTCCCCCTGGAATCTCAAAGACTCCTGCCATGGAAACAGAGTGGAGAAGCTAAGAACTGAAAAATAACTGGGGGGGGGTGCTACACCTCAAAATAAGTTTTAGACCTCCCAAGATCACAGACTCCCAGATGCTTTAATATCAATATCTGTAGCTGGACTGGAGAACCACATACAGCTTTCTACAGTTTACAAGGACGGGAATTTACAATTCAGTGGTGAAAGACACATCAAAGCACTGAACCTATTACAGGTGGAATTCCAGAACAGATTCACTGGTTGCCATAAGCATGGAAAGGAAATAAGAGTGTTTCAGAATCCATTTGAAGTCGCACCAGAAGATGCAAGTAACTTTTTTCAGATGGAACTAATCGATCGGCAAGCCAGTGATTATCTCAAAGACATTTACAAAGAAAATAGTCTGTTAGATTTCTATTCTGGTCTACCTGATATATCTATCAACCTAAAGAAATTTGCTGCAGGCATGTTCACAGTCTTTGGCACCACATACATCCGTGAACAAACTTTTCCAAGATGAAAATTGTGAAATTCAAGTGTAGGTCAAGTCTTACAGATGAACATTTACATGACATTTTATGGGTGTCTGTCACAAACTCTGACTTGGACATTAATGCCTTGGCTAACAGAAAGCAGCCACAAAAATCACACTAAGCAAGCATGTGTAGCTAGATAAAAGGATTCCACAGTATTTTCCCTCTGCCAAATCCCCTTAGACTTGCACACTATCTTAAATACAGCCAGTGAAGATGCTCTCTACAACAACTCTGGTAGGCCATTCCAGAGGACTGACCTACCACAAAGAAAGCCCTTGAATTGGCTGTTTCACGTGGACAACTGGTATCTTTCACCATTGCAGATCCTTTCCCTTGTTTGTTTTTTTAAACCCCCGGAGGGGTATTTTTATTTTTTTCAATAAGACTACAAACTACAAAGAAAAATATAGGAAGGGGAACTACAACTATGGATAAAGGAAAGAAACCCACACTAACTAAAAACCAAGAGTGGGAGACCCCTTTATGTTAATCTTAATATTAGTATTAAAAGAGTTAGTAAAACAATATACTTGTAGAGTTCTTGTTTTTCACATTGTTCTATATTAGTAAATTAGTTATTATGAGAGAAATTTCTGAGCATCATCTTTATTTCAAAGAGCCATTTATCAGAGTCCTTCTGCCCTTACTTCGGCCTTTTGTCTCTAAAATCATATACAGTTTTCATTGCTCCCGCACCCGCTTCTGCAGCAGAGTCCTCATCCGTTCCCAAGGCAGCTGAGTCACTTGACTTAGTTTCTTCCTCTTTAGATTCTTCCCCCGATCCCAGCTGGCGTTTCAAGAATTCCTTGGCTTTGAAGATGGAGTCTATCTTCTCCCTTCTAGCGTTGATTTTAAAGATGACACCTTCAGGAATCGCCCACCTGTACTGTATACCGTTTGTTTGAAGAAAAGTAATTAACTCCTTGTAGCTCTTTCTCTTCTGACGAATTTCAAATGGAATGTCTTTTAAAGTCTTGATAATTGTATTCCCAAATTTCACAATTTCTCCAGGCAGGCTATTTTTTTTAATATAATTGGAGTAAGCCCTATAAGCTGTCTCCATATCTTTTATTATGTCCTCCACTGGCAAGCCTGTCACTGGAGCGATAATCCCACCCAGAGTCTTTTTCAAATCTTCTTTTTCTGTCTCAGGAACCCCCTGGAACCTGAGAATCATATTAGCCTTTTCCATTTGCAGCTGCAACAAAAGATTTTCTTGAAGGTTTTGTTTCATTTCCACTTCACCTATTCTTTTCTTCATCTTCTTGCTTGAGGCGTCCACCTCTGTAACTTTCTCAGCCACCAGCTCCACTTTTTTTCCGTTTCTGCCAGCTGTCGCTGTTGTGAAGCAAAGTTTTGATTTAATGAGGTCAGTTCCTGGTTAATACCATCGAGCTGATCCATCACTGGCTTGAGCATATCCGCTAACAGCTTCATGACGCCAGCTCCCTCTTCTGGCCTCGGACTCTGACTACCAAGCTTCGCTTTAAACTTTCCTCGGGATGCCACCATTTTTCAAATTTGTTTACACTTTCAAACCGCTTCTCCTGGGCTCGAAGCACTCGTCAATTCGCTATTTGCACTCAAGTAAGTCTCTCAAAATACACACGCTGTCTGTTTCCTCCCACTCCCCCTTCGCTGCGTTTATCTGTCCTTGCGCTTCAGAGGCGTCCCTCTTTGTGCTCTGCTTTTCCCACGGGGAGGAAGGGTGCCATTTATCAAAGTTCGTTTACTTAGAACTCACATTCATTGTTGGTCACATTCCTGACTTCGCTCACATCAATCGTTCCGCTCGGTCTCCCCCGCTTGTCCCGGTCAGATTAGCTTGTGTCCTAAGGCCACTCATCGGTAGGACCATCAGAGCGGAGAGAAGCCTCGATTCTCCGGCAGCAAGCCGTCGAAGAGGCTATCCCTCAAAGCTCTCTGGCCTGAAGCCTTTCACAAAGGCTCCGTGGGAGTGCCACTTGAGGTGGCACCCCTCCATGCCGATGGTGTGCTAATCGCCTCCCCAAGCTCTGGGGAGAGCGACCGCCATCGCCAATCCATAGACTGGAAGTCCCTTTCCCTTGTTTTTAAACTGCACTTGGGGAACGGTAGGGAATGGGATGAAAGGGTTTCTGCACTAGCCCATTTTCTCACAGGGCTGGAGGGAGGGTGGGTGTTGATACCCACAGGGTGAGGGCTAGGGACAAGAAAATTAACTGCCACCCAGGACAATAAACTTGTACCAAAAGATCCACGTAGGCTCAGACCGAAGGTCCGTCTCGTCCAGCATTCTGTCTCTCTTAATAACCAGGCAGATGCCCAGAAGGCCACAGATGTGGGGGGAGGGCACAGAGGCCAAAGGTTCCCCTGGTGCATCCCTCCCCCAGCAAATTGCATCCAGCTGTCCCAGGAGGTTCCATTAGCCATCTCTCCTAAATGCCATAGGCCTCTCCTCCTGCTAGAATTGCCAATATCCAGGTGGTGGCTGGAGATCTCCTGGGATTATAACTGAACTCCAGGTGACAAAGATCAGTTAAGCTGGAGAAAATGGCTCTTTTGGAAGGTGGACTCTGACATTATACCCCATTGAAGGCCCTCTGCACGGATCTGTCTACCCCCACAAATAATCTAAACAAGGCACTACCACCACCGTATCCCATGGTAGTGAATCCCAGAAGTTAATGGGAAGTTGTTCAGCTTCCGGGCAAGTATCTTGAACCAACCCCACAACCGCTCCCCACACCAAGCATAGCCACCTTACGTATCTGGCTGGTTCACAGAGTGCCTGTCTTAAAGGCAGTTCATGATTCCGGTGGGGCTTTGGGGGTCTCTGTCCCCTTTCTTAAAGACACAGTCCTACAATAATTTCTGCTGTAAATGCTTTTTTCAATCATTAAAAAAAAAATTTTTAAGGCGTGCACTCCTTTAAACAGAGTGGGGTGCTGTAATTGACTAATTCCTGCACTAAGCATGGGGACTGGGGTAGGTGACCTCGAGGATCCCTTCTAACTCCGTGTCAAGAAACTCGTCTCCTTTAAGAAAGTTTTTCTGCCGAAGGGTTAGTTTTCTTGACTATAGAAGTCATCACCCCCACCTGCCGGCTTGTTATCAGAACTGTTGCTTAGGCTGGCAAGAAGTTATTAATTTGCAGCAGCTGAGAACTGTCATCTAAAGTAAGAACATAAGAGACGCCAATGTTGAATCAGGCCAAAGGCCCATCCAGTCCAACACTCTGTATCACACAGTGGCCAGAAATACTAGTGCCATCAGGAGGTCCACCAGTGGGGCCAGGACATTAGAAGCCCTCCCACTGTTGACCCCCCCCCAAGCACCAAGAAGACAGAGCATCACTTGCCCCAGAGCCCCTAGCTATACCTTGTGGCTAATAGCCACTGATGGACCTCTGCTCCATATGCTTATCTAATTCCCTTTTGAAGCTGTCCATGCTTGTAGCACCCACCACTTCCTGTGGCAGTGAATTCCATGTGTTAATCACTCTTTGGGTGAATAAGTACTTCCTTTTATCCGTTCTAACCCGACCGCTCAGCAATTTCATGGAGTGCCCACGGGTTCTTGTATTGTGAGAAAGGGAGAAAAGTACCTCTTTCTTTACCTGCTCTTTCCCATGCATAATCTTATAAACCTCGATCATGTCACCCCTCAGTCGTCTTTTCTCCAAGCTAAAGAGCCCTAAGCGCTTTAACCTTTCCTCATAGGGAAAGTGTTCCAACCCTTTTATCATTCGAGTTGCCCTTTTCTGCACTTTTTCCAAAGCTATAATACCCTTTTTAAGGTGTGGTGACCAGAACTGCACACAGTATTCCAAATGAGGTCGCACCATTGATTTATATAGGGGCATTATGATATTGGCTGATCTGTTTTCAAAGTGGCTGACAGCTTGCAATTTAGAGCTCTATCCTGCCAACAGCTTTCTATTGGCTAAATGGCTTTTCTTTCTGCACTAAGAACTTCAGCCCTACCAGAAAATTTCTGCCCTACAAGCCACCAAATCTTGGCTACGGGCCTGGATTGCGGCTGACCAAGGGCCTCTGTGCATATGCAAAGTGCACCAGCTGAGCCACCCGGTAGAGTCGCTTCCTCCCTCCCGCACGCCACGGGCTCTGACGCGGTGAACTGCCCAGGAGGAGCTATCGCCATGGCAACAGCTGACTGCTACTGCGGCTTAACAAGACATCCGGGGTGGGGCTCTCTCGAGCCGACTCATCTAGGGGGTGGTGGCTCAGGCCTGAGATAAACGCTCAGGCACCTCCCTCGCCATAGATGCTCATGGGCCAAACAAGTTCCGGTCTGTGCTGTACCTTTTTCCGCCCAAGAGAAAGGAAATACCCGGATGCAGTAGCATGGCGGAGGGGGGCTCGGGACCGCGTTTGTTGCGCTTGCTCTGTCTCCATGGTTACCGCCAGGACGCCAGGAGCTTCCGGGCGCGCAGCGGGTCCCTGCGGAAAGCCTTGCGCGGCCGCGCCGAACTCCTGGTGCTGGATGCGCCTCACGTCGTAGCCGCCCAGCCAGGTGGGGGCAGGGGCTCGTTGTGATGTCACGAGGGCAGAGTGTGCCATTGGGCATGTGCAGAGGGCCTGAGGATGGTAGGCGAAGCCTGCTAGGCCAGTGGGGTAGCCTTGCACGTGACCCGAGTTGAGGGCCCGCCGCCCTGTGGGAGGGCTGGTCTACCTGTCAGGAGGAATGTGAAAATTGTACATAGGTGGGTGAAGCGGCTCTAGCCCCAGGAAGTGCAAGATCCGTGCCAAGTAGCGTCCTAGTTACCATCCTGTTTATTCTTCTGGACATGCAAGGGACGAGTGGCTTGATTGTAAGATGTACTTGCACACTACGATGTACTTAAAGTCCAGCAGCACTTTAGAACTCACAAAATGTAATCCAGGATAAACTTTGGTGAGTTAGAACTCCCTTGGTCAGATGCAGCAGAGCATGTGTATAACATGGCCCTCTCAGTTTAGTATATAATTTCCTTGTGGGTGTTTTTATAGCTATGCTCTTGATCTAGCATGGCTTTTAAAACTTGGAGTGCTTCCTTATCTGAAAAGGCCCAAACGGAAGATGAAGGAAGGGGGCATCAATGCTTTGAGGAACCAGCCATACCCCACCCCACCCCACCCTTGCAGTGTAGTGTCTCTAACCACTGGGTTTTCCCCTTCTCCATTGCAGGGGAGGGCAGTCTGTTGGAGCCGTTAGAAGGCAGCACTCGTGGCTGGTGGTTCTCCAGACCCCAGGAGGGGACATTCAGTGCCTTGGAGGAAGCCTCATCTTGCAAAGGACTGGCGGAGTCACTGGAGGCTGTGGCTGCGGCATGTGCAGAACACAGCCCTATTGATGGGCTGCTGGGCTTTAGCCAGGGGGCAGCGCTGGTTGGCATTATTTGTGCCCTGAAGCAACATGGAGATCCCCGCTTCCAGTTTGACTTCAGCATCCTGATTGCCGGCTTCAGGAGCAGGGCCCTTGATCACCAGAACTACTATCAGGAACCTATCCAGGTGCCCAGCCTGCATGTCATAGGAGAGACGGACCGCGTCATCCCTGGTGAGATGAGCCAGGAACTTGCCTCCCACTTTAGTGAACCTTTATTCCTCACCCACCCAGGGGGGCATTTCATCCCTGTGTCTGCAGCCCAGAAGAAAACCTACCTTGAATTCCTGGATCAGTTTGGGAAGTAACTAGCTGGAGCAGAAGGTTTGTTGGTTGGTTGATTTGATCCCCTCAGTTACTTGTGCAAAGTCCAGAAGGAGACAGTAAGGTGTAGAGAGAAGGTTGCAGCCCTGATCTCAGTGCTCAGGTAGTTAAGCGTGCCTCAATCTGCATCAGACCGTGGCTTCCTGTCCAGTTGTCAGTCAGTCTTTGTGTGACTTGACTGTGTGTCGTGGAATCAGTAAGTGTAGTCCCACTTTTAAAGTTATATAACCATTGATGGGCTTCTTGTAGGTGATTTGTTTATTAATTGCACTGATAGTCTACTTTTCTTGTTCAGACCCAAAACAGATTACGGAATTAAAACAATGCAACAAGAACATTGGTAACATTGATTAAAACTGGATTATTAGAAAACAGTGCACTGCAAACAACATAGTTCATACAATAAAGCAGAATGGTGGTTTTTTAATTATTATTAGATTTTCCAAAATAAACACAACATATGTAACATATTTCATACTCCCAGCTACAGCAAGGAACAAAGAGGCATTATATAATAAGTTGTAAAATATAGAAGGAAACACTTTCTTATATTTGTACCTCAGAACATTATAAACAACACCCAAATGCTCAATAAACTTATCTAAACATTGGAAATTATTTCTCTGGGCTTGCTGAAGAGGTGTTAATTTATTTAATAATGTGGTGTTCCATCTGCAATGGGACCATTCACGCTCTGAGGGAGGTTCTGTTTTTTTATCCAGTTTGCTGCTGTTGCCATTTAAGCAGCGATAAGTAGCTCAAAACCAGTTCTCCATCTGTAAGAGCTCTGTGTCCTTCTGCATAGGCCAACAGAATAACTTTTGGATCAAGGGAGATGTGTCAAAAGCCTAACAGTTCATTAACAGATTGAATTGTTAGTTTCCAAAAATAATGTAATAATATCACCATGGGTGAGCAACTCCGCCAATACTGATCCCAGGTATTTCTATGCATAGTGGCTATGCGGAGTGAGATACCATTGAAACCAAGTTTTAAAGGAAAGTTCTTTTAAACTTGTAGAAATTAGTTTAGGTACCACACAATTTCAAATCCACTCCCATTCCTTTAACTCAGTATTGATCTGTAAAGTCCCTATTCCATTTTCTACTGCAGCTTGAAGAAGTGCTTTCTAGATTTAGTAACAAGGAATAGATTTTAGCCATTAAACCACTAGGTAGCTGATCAGTGGTAATTATAAGCTCAAAGATTGTTTTTGCTCTTAAACCACTATAATTCCTCAGTAGTGTTTGCCAAATGCCTGAGCTGCAAAAACTGTAATAACAGTGGCCTATCCTCTAATTTTAAAACAGTTTCTTTATAACTTATCACATGATGACACTTTACCAGATTTTCAATTACATCAAAATTGTTCTTCTTCTAAACTTTAACATCTAGATTCTGGTGGCTTGTTTTGTTTTGATGTTGATAATTTATGATGTTTTGTGGTATTTTTAAAAACTTTATGGTGTTTTTTAAACTTGTAAGCCACCTCAACCAGGACACTTGAAAGGCAGAATGTCAATATACCTAATAGTCAATATGGCCCTACCTGAGGATAGTTAAATATGCAGATTGGGGCCATGTTGAGAAGAATGATATTTTTCACCAAACTTGGGGGACCACCCAGGTTTGTAGAAAAATCCCAGATCATAACGAAGAGTAGGGGGAGCCCCCAAAATGAAAGCCACTGTCTTGCGCAAACAATTGTCTTGGAACCAACACTGTGGACAGTTGGGAGAGGAGAACCAGGACCCTCATCCGTCCCCACATCCCCTACCCACTGCTGACCAGCCCACTTCCCCTGCAGTTGGGTGTATGTGTGAGGAGGAAGAGAGACTGTGTTGACAAGAGAGAAGAGTGCAAAGGGGTTAGGGGGCAGCCAGGAGGAGAGAAAGTGGAAATAGCATGGGGAAGATGATACAGGGGGAGATGAAGTGACCCCACAAGTCCTTGTAGGTTCCTCCTTAAATTGTGACAACAGCAAGGACGTACACATGCTTACTCCATGTCCCAGCAGCTCTGTGGGATGAATTTGTGGGGCACAGTTTAAGGGAAACTGCAGAGGAGATAAACTGAGCTCCTTCAAGGCAGAGTGGGATGGAGAAGGAAAGAATTAGGGCTTTGGAGGTGCACTTTTTAATCTCAAACGCTAGAGGGCAAGCTTATCCCCTGTAAGCATTTTTGATGACAGATAAGTGGGAGGGCAAAGGGGCGGGGCAGCTGTCAGTCTGTTAAGCTGCCCATCCCTTTCTACTGGGTTTCCCTGCAAGCAAAGGCAGCCAAAGCAGCAGGCCTGGAGAGGATAAATCCAGCTTCTCTGCAGTGGGTGAGCCGGAGCCGATTGAGCCTGACCATGCCTGGGGCAAGGGGAAGTTGGGTGTGTCCAGCGTCGCTGTCTCCAGTAGCTCCTTCTGTGTTTGGATGGGCTAAGAGTCTGTGCAGAGTCTGAGTCAGCCAGGGTGCTCGGCCAGCGTTCCTTTCCTCTCCGTGGCTCCCATTGGTCACTGCCGTTTTTTACTCCGTGATGATGGAGTTTGTCAGCAGAGCCCCAGAGGTGCCAGCAGAAGGCTTCCTCTGTGGGACCTTAAAGGCTGAAAGGGAGAAGAGGCATCACCCTGACAACAAGCTCTGCCTTACGGGGAGGGGCAGGGGAGAGAGAGAGAGAGAGAGCGCAGGCTTGTCCGGAGGCCGGCAATGGTGCCTGGCATTCCGCTTCTCCCGTACAGCCAAAGCCAGGCTGGCAGAGAAGGGTGACCCTGAGTTGTATGGTGACAGTACCTGGGGATCCTTAAGGTAGTTTTGTGCATGGCAGAGGGTCTTTAGCGCCTGCTTTGCATGCATATCCCTGGCATCTCCCACTAAAAGGATTTCAGGATGGGCAGGGTCAGGTGGCCTCGGGCCAGTCGCTCTCTTTCAGCGTAACCTACCTTTGTAGGGTTACTGTGAGGATAAAATAAAGAACTGTGTATGTCATTCTGAACTGCCTGGAGGAAGGTTAGGATAGAAGTGTCCTAGAAAGAGAGATCCTGGGCGGCGGCGGCTGCCCGACAGAGCAGACTTTGTAAGAACTGATTGGCGCTCTCTCTTGCTTGAGCCAAGAGGAAAGCATGCAGGGCTCCCTTTGCAGGGGCAAATCCCAGGTTCTGCTTCATACCCCCCACCACCACCCTGCCTTTGTCCTCCGCACCTGGAATCCAAGCAGCTGAAGAGAGAAGCTTTTGCTTTCAGCCCGGCCGCCTTCCTGGCCTCCTTTCCCTGCCCTTTGGCTCCAAGCAGCCACCTGCAGCTTGAGCGTGTGGGACGGGGCCATCCGTCAAGTGCTGCTTGGAGAGGTTGTCTTGGCTTCCAGCCCAGGGTCTTCATGCCAAACTCTGCCTCGTGGGCTGTATTTTTCTTACGCATCCCTTCGTTTCCTCTTAAATGGGAACATTCTCCTGGGAGAACGGGTGCAGCTGTGCTGTGCTGGGAGAGGGGACATTGTGCAACTCTTGACCCTCTTGGACGTGTGTGGCAAGGGGGTGTGGGACTGGGGAGGGGGCGGTCCCAGGCCCTCGCTTTGGCATAACGTAGCTGGTGTGTGTGTGTGTGCAACGATGCTTCCTCTGTCCACACCAGCCCTCCAGATCTTCCCATTGCCTCTGAGTCACTCCGGCTCTTAGTTTCAGTGGCGGCTTTCCATGGAAGCCCACGCTGGGCAGGGCCCCCGGCTGGGATAAACACTCACCGCCTGACTCACAAAGGCCACTGGGAGCGGGTGGGCGGGAGACGGCAAATGTGTGCACTGCAACCTGGGGGAAGCTGGAACTGGAGAGGAGGCGGCTGCTCAGTTGGGCCGGGCTGGGGCTTGACCTTTTAGTCCTTTGGCAGCCAGCCCTGGTGGGCTTGCGTCCGGACCGCTTCTGTCCATTGTTTCCCACCAACCAGTTGTGCCTCGAGCAACGCTCAGCTGTTCACTGCCGCTTCCCACTTGATGTCCAGACACCCAGTGATGCTCCGCTGTCTGCCCACTGTAATAATCTCTTGCAGGGCGGGGGCAGAAAGAGAGAATGCCAGTGGTGAATTTCTGAGGAAGGAAATGCTGGGGGGAAGGTGGCTGCAGTCGTTGCAGCCCTCCTTCTGACATGCACAGGTGATGCGCAAGGCAGGGAGTGCTCAGACGGTGCTGTGATGAACAGGGGACAGAGCGGGCAGATCCTGAGGCTGAGCCCCATCACTGGTCATGGGCATCACCTTACCAGAATGCGGTCTTTTTCAGGTACAGGGCGGGGTGGAGGCAGGTTGCTGGAACAGGTTCTGGCTACGCTGAGCTTTAAACTATGGGTCCAGAATCTGTGGCTGGGGTTGGGACCCGGCTGAGAGGGTCCAGATGGGTCCAAACGTCGCCTAGAGGTCACCTTGGGCAGGGCTATGCCTTTCTTCAAAGTCTCCCAAACGTCAGAATGGAGAATGTGCCAACGGGTGGTGGATGTGGTGAGGGTTTGCCTTTTTTGTTGCTCAGCTCTATGGCCGTTGCCCTCCCTCTCTCAGGTTCATTCATCTGCACACTGCTGGGATCCTGCTGATGTGTGTGGAACTTGGGGGGGGGGGGGCAGACGGCCCGTGTGGTCCAGCGGGCCACTTGCCCACCTGCCTCCTTTCTCGTGTGCCAGACCCACACGGGGTTCATTGTAAAACGCATGTGGTCCCCAACCTGCAGCAGGACTAATCCTTTGGTTACGCAGACAGTGCAGACACGGCTTCCGTGGCGGGGAGGGGACGATGCAGACAGGATAGGTGGGGGGGGGCCCTGCATGGGTAGGAGAGGGAATGGAGCTGCTTTGCCTTCCAGAGAAAGGGCTTCATTTGCAAGTCACAAAGCAGCGGCCAGCCAAGGTTCATGAGGCTGGCTCTGTTCAAGTTCACAGGTGCGTCCCGTTCCATTTGGGGGGATAAGCAGAGACAGTTTTATTTACTGCCACTGGCAGCAGATCTGGGGCTGTTTTCACGCAGCTGGCTTAAAATAATGTTTAAAACACAGACACACACACACAGAACCCCCACCCCTCGTTTCCCCAAAGAACCTGCAACAGGAAAGTGAATCACAACTTAAGGGCCCCAATGGTGGCGGGATATGCTGCCAAGTCTTAGCTAACTTATGGCAACCCCTGGTGGGGCTTTCAAGGCAAGAGAGGGTCAGAGATGGTTGGCCACTGCCTGCCTCCACATAATGGCCCTGGACGCCCTTGGTGGTCTCCCACCCAAATACGAACCAGGGCCGACCCCGCTTAGCATCTGAGATCTGTCCAGATCGATCTGGTGAGCCTGGGCCATTCAGCTCAGGGCTAGGGGCCCCTGGAAGGCCGGGTCACTCACATCCTGTCCCCACTCCTGAGCAGGGGCCAGGTGCCTTGTGACTTTCGTCTCCTCCGCAGCCGACTCCTCTCTCTGGGAAGATCTCTAGCCCTTCTCAGAGGCACTGGTCTCAGCAATCACGGGGGCCTTTTATGCTGAAGCCCAGCGGCCTGTGGACCACCCGAGACTCTAGCCACTGTGGGACACTGCCTCTCTTGCAGTGTCAGATATGTGAGGCTGCTTGG